AGTAAGTCCAGGCCGAAAAGCGTGTTGCCGGTGGTCTAAAAGGTTATTACCTTCAAGAAAACCTATCAAGGGACGGTTCACCATGCGCTCGAGAGTCTTGCTCATACAGCAGGTAAAGGAGATGGGGCGGAAATCTCCCGGGGAGAGAGTTGCTTACTCGTTCTTGGGCATAGGAACCACTAAGCTATGTAACCACTCGCAAGGCAAGATGTTGCCGATCCAGGTCTTGTTGAGAATGTCGAGAAATATGAGTTTGGTTTCCAGCGGCAGATGGTGTAGCATGGGATAACCTATCTCGTCCGGACTTGCCAATTTTCCACTGCCCCGGCTGAGGGCGTGATTGAGCTCGTCGATAAGGAAAGGAACGTTGATGGAAAGTGGAACAGCATCCTCCGGGATGGAAATGTTATCGATACTTTGAGTGGAGACGTTTTTCCGGCTAATGAAGTTCTCTTCGCTGCGGTTGATAGATGATAAGGACTCAAAATGGTCGATCAAGGCGTTGGCAATGACTAATGGGTCTCTTTCTCTTGCCACTCAGAGCATTGACTCGGATCCACAGCTCTGAGGCCATATGGTTGGAGTTGATCCCCTCGAGAAAATCCTCCCAGCTGTTCTTTTTGGCGTCCCCAATGGCTTGGCGGTAGTGGTTTCTCTTGGTTCGGTAACACGCTCTTTATCGGGTGGTCTTTAGGCAGACGTTTTGCAACACGGAGGGCCTTTTTTCTTGCTTTAATTGCTGATTTTTTTTCGGCACACCACCAGTGGAGAGGTTTCCTCCCAGAGTACGGACTGGTCTTTAGAATTGCGGTACTCACTGCCCCGAGGATATTCTCCATTAGTTCCTCCATATTTGTCGGCGGGTGTTCGTTGGATGCATGAGTAACTGCTTGATCGAAAAGCTCCCAGTTGGCTTGCTCGTACTCGAAAAAAAAATCGTTCCTGAAAACGGGAACAGACCGTGAACTAAAAATCACGGCCAACTATCCAGAACAAAATTTTCTCAAATATACACCGTGAACTATGGTTCACGGCTGTGGTTCACTAATATGGGAACTCTTTTTTTCCCGTGTATAGACCTGGGAGGATTCTGGAAGGGGATCTCCCCAGCAAGATAACTATCAGATAATGGTCGCTCCAGGCTGGGTCCTCTAGGGCCCTCCATAAAAGCTTTCCGGTAATGGTGGGACTGGCCGCTGATATATCGACTGCGGCATCGGTTTGACCGCGAACGAAGGTGTTGGATCCGTCATTGAGGATCACTAGATTGAGTGATTCCGTTAGCTCAGCGATAACAGAGCTGCAAGGATTTACTTTAGAGCTCCCCTAGGATGGGTGGTGCCCATTAGAGTCACCGAGGATAAGGAGAGGACCGGTAATCGAATCTAGCGCTCGTTGAAGACTATTTTGAAGGTCATTTTCGATTGGCACCGGGATTGTGGACTCAATTCTAATTCCGACGATGGGAAGATCGGTGTTGAAGTGAATCGGGGAGAACGGAGTACCTTCCGTGATCCCGATGGCGATGATTGTTATAGAAAATTGTTGGTATATTGCTTATAAATAGAAATTCATACTTGCCGAAGAAAGCCTCCAGCTAAGTAGACAAACAAAAAAAGTTGTGATCTAAAGTGAGAGTCTGTTTTATAAAGTGAACAGCTAATAAAAATTAAAGGGGCGTCGGGAAAAGTTTCATACTACAAAATCAACAAAAAACCATCAACAACAATTTTTTTGAAAACTTTTGAACTTTTTACATAAACAAGTTTTTCATCAGTTTTATCCTAAAAACCATTTTAAACCAGTAACGCAGGTAGATCACCTTTTCATGGTACATTACTGGTATAGGAACTACCTCCGAAGATACTCTTCACCATCCTTTCGCAACAGGGGAGTTTGGTATAGGAGATGATTTACCTGGCCTTCATCAAAATTTACCTTTACTCGCTTTCTACTCTCTATATACAATTTTCACACTGCCGTACTCTACCGGAACTATCAACTCTATTGATGTCTATGATATTTGACGTTAGTCATCTCCAACTACATATTTTATGGTTCAAAAGAAGTCACGCTCTTGAGCTCCCATTCTAAAGAGAGGGTGTCCATTAGACTGATCCAAAATTTGACTTTTTCGCTCCACAGTGCTTAAATGGTTTCAAATCGGGTCCTGATTAGCCTCCAAAAGTTACAACTCATTTGGTTAGAAACAGACTTCGCACAAGCCATTTGAAGTTTACATGTAAATTACTATGGGAAATCTCAACTTTTTGTTCATTGCCTTCTAGTATTTTTCCATATTGAGCTGCGAAACAATTCGATAGCAATTCTTACAGAAAATTTTCTCAGCTACAACTTTGCTGAAAATCGTTTCTATGTAAAACGAGACAGAAAAAAGTTATTAAATATTTAAGAGATTGGTAAACTTATGACAACTAGGCAACACTGTATTTTGCAGTGTGACATAGTAGCCATGATTTTTGTGTACTATTCAACGCCCCAGAAACACCAATGTTGCCTGCTGATCAGTTGATTGAGCATGATCATAAGACATCAGCGCATTGAACAATTGATAACTTTCGATCCTCGCATTTAATCAAAAAATGATCTTCAGCAATGTTGTAGCTGGGAAAATTTCTTACAACTACAGTTGAAAGTTTTTGAAGCAAACCAATATGGTGAAATTTTAGATAGACATGAACAAAAATCTTGGTTTTACCATAGTAATTCCCATACAAACTTCAAATAGTTTGTGCCATCTCAGTTTCTCACCAAATGGGTTCAAATTTTGAGAGGTTAGTCAGGATCAGATTTGGAATCGTTTAAGTATTGTGGAGCGAAAATTTCAAATTTTGCATCACTCTAGTGTCCATGGTCCTAAAGAATGTATCGCATTGCATAATCATGTTATCATGTAGTCTCCTTAATAAAGATATAAAAAAAAAAAAAAAAAAAAAAAAAAAAAAATGTTATCTCCGTAAATTTTTAAGCCTAGACTTGGCATATGTAGATCATAATACCATTGACTACAGACCTGCATAAATGCAACGAGAAAGCTGTCATGATCAACTGACGATTGAAATGTTTTTTTTTTTTTTGCAAAAGCTATTATAACTGTTTTAACTTTTGTCCTTGAAATCATAACAACACAACAAATATTGAAAAACTAATAGGAGCTTATTGAAGCAAAACATAACACATCAGCAAAAACTAGTTTATTCTGCTTTCAAACAGCGCTAATTTAGTTGGAAATGGAGTCTTTAAATAAATTTAAACTTCTCTGAATTCAGACTTCCTAACAAACAATTTGAGTAGATCAACAGCTGAATCAACCTTGGTTTAGCTGAAGAAGCTGATTTTTGCCTGAATAAGCTCTTATTTAACATTCAATGTTTGTTGGGCTAGTGCAAATAATCCGTACCAAAATCACGCCACACCCAAAATCTGAAATGCAAATTCGAGTAAATCTGCGAGACTGCGATCCCCGTAGTTGGAGAAATTAGAATGCTGATAGATATTGAATTCTTCATATATCTGTAACCTTTTCCCAAGGTCTGAATTGAGTCTGTAAGCAAGAATGTCTGTATAAGACATGTCTGTATAAGACATGTCTGTATTAGAGTCGGTGTATAATGAGTCACGCCAAGAGTGAAGCCAAGTCTACCTATTGAACTGTCAAATCGGCTACCTATCGTGCAAAGTAAATAAACATTACGATGCTATGAAAGGTCTACGAAAGGTATTGCAATGAAATATAAAATAAAATTGAAGAAATCATCGTAAACACGCAGCGAGCATTAAATGGTCATGGGATACGTTTGGTTTTGATCAGTAATGAGAATTTCTACTATTTTTTGATAAGATAATTTGACAAAATCACTGATATTATGATTCACTACAGCCGTTATTTTTGGTTCTCGCTAGAAGTCATTTAAAGTTGATGTAGAAGTCCTCTGTTGCCAAGTGAAAAGAAAGGGAATCCTTCGGAAACCGTGATGCGAGTTCAACTGTTTTTCTCTTGGCGTGACTCATTATACACCGACTCTAGTCTGTATAAGACATGTCTGTATAAGACATGTCTGTATATCTGGCATCCCTGGCTAATGACAGTTGATGACGAGTTTTTACCAAACGAGTAGACAAAATCGTTTGTGTGCCCACAGCGTCGTCAAAGCGCAAAAAGTCAATTATTTCGATTCGTGTCCTGGAGGCGAAGAAAACACTCCGTCCGCACCGTACAAAAATGGAGTGAGTGGCCGGTAGTTGACAAAATGGAAATGCCCCTGCTAGAATGCTTTAGCAGCGTTCGTTCGCAAATGGCATTATTTTCATTTAATTTAATTACAGTTTTAGCGAAATGGAAATTAAATTAAAACTTGCTCTCGCCACCTACCGGTTTTGGTACATCCGTCTGTTGGTACCCGCCTCAGTGTGTGTCTGGTATTAAAATGAGGAGACGCACTGCCTGGATATTGAGACATTTGACCTCTCGGCATTGAAGAGTTTAGCGAGCAATTTTGTCAGCTGTTGAAACAACGAACGGTAGAAAGGTCGGAAGAGCAATTACCACCACAAGATAACCCTATTGCTCGAAAAACCAAGCGACCGAGCCCCACCCGAACTCCCAATTGCCAGAACAGGATGGGACAAAATAGGTCCAACGGTTTAATAGTGGCCCGACATGCATCTGCTTTTAAGAGCACTTTGTAAATGTCATGTACACGTCGTTGTTGGTACGGAAAGCTACTCGACAGCCAAAAAATACGCAGCCCCTCTTGACGAACTCATAAATCACCGGTAAAGGTGTGACGATGGACGATGGATGGTGCTGGTGACACAGCATCATTCGCTCTCGCACCCCAGAGCCCGGGTCGAGTTGGTTCGTCAAGTGTGATTCTGGCAAAGTCCTTTCTGGATTTATAACGAAGCGGAAAATCTGATTCTATTTGATCTACTTAGCACTTTCTAATCTTTTCTCCCTTTGCTATCTCTCTCAACAGGTGAGGTGGAACGTCTACTCAAGGAGCACCAGCAGAATCAGGAGCTGGTGGAAAAGATCGGTAGAAACTCCTACCAGATCATCTACCCGGTGCAGTTGAGGCACCACGAGAAGATGGGCATCTCGACGAGAGAAGTCGGCACAAAGGTACGCTATCGCTCCAGAGCTTCCTCCTACTCTCCATCACAATCATCATCATCGTCATCCATGAATTCCATTACTACTTTCCACCATCACAACTACAACTACAACAAAAATGTCACACGCACACGCAAATCCTACTATCCCGATGATGCCACGATGAGTACCGATGAGCTAGCTAGGATGGTATGTGCTTTTGATTTTTGATCCGTTTCATGTTACCTGAGTACAATTGAAGCTGAACAATGCATTAGGTCCTAAGTAACATTGACAGATTCTCTTCGTTGACTTTCTCTTTGAATCCTCTCGGCCATGTTAAGACATTACGACAAACACGACAAGAATCGGTTCTGAACCCATGTTATTAACGAAAGAGAAAGTCGATAAAGATAATCCGTCGATGTTACTTAGGACCTAATGCATTGTTCAGCTTGAATTGTGTGTGTGTGTGTGATTTGCAGCACCTGTTTTACTGAGTTGTTTTAAGGTTGTATATTGTGATTGCTTGTTTGATTCCTTGCACCAATGATGACTATTTGAAAATGAAAATTTAATTGCTTGAGTGAATCAACCGAAAAGGAGACCCTACTAATTTCTTCGCCACGGCAATTGTGACCTTCCATTATGATGACAATCATAGGATGAAGATTTTTTAACGAAACCTTTCGTAAACTATTTAACCGTTTTTGCCCCATTTATCCTGAGGCTTATTTAAGGAACTTTTTAGAATTCGACTATAGAAGTACACAATTGAAGACATTTTTGGGAAATGAATTGTTTTGGCGTCCAAACTATTCCTTGTTTTTCGTACTGAACACCAATGCTACCGACGCCAGGGAGGCAGCTCCCACACCTGGACCCTACCAATCGACCCATCAACTCATGGACCAGGGGCTAACGACTTTACTAGCTTTACTAAGGAAGGCGTGATCAGAGATGTTATATGCCTCAGAACGGTGCCAACTGGTATCGAACCCAGGCGCTTGGATGAGAGGCAATCACGCTTACCACTACACCTGTGTCGCTGTATTTATGACCAACCAAGGTTTGCTATTTATTAAGATTTTTTCAGGACAAAATAGTTAGTGATGAAGTAGCCCATAAGTGGCTTTGAAATCTAATTTTGGAACGTTCGCCTCTTGGTGGCGGTTTGAAATTCTTGTGTCAAAGGTACGATCAAGGATCATCCTATGCACTCTGTTCCGAGCGACCTGGATTTTTTTCCTGTGAGTCTGTGCACATGATTCGCACACCGAAGCTGCGTAGAGGATTGCAGGTGCTATAATTTGTTTGTAGACAGCCAGTTTGTTCACCTTTGAGAGGCGAGATCTACGGCAAATCAGCGGATACAGACACCTAACCAAGGCGGAACACTTGATTACGGCTTTTACCACATGCGAGCGGAATAGGAGCTTTTCATCGAACAACATCCCGAGATAGGTTACTTCGGCAGACCACTCAACCCTTGTGCCATCCATGATTACAGTACAAGAGGTAGCCGGTTTTAGTATGGGTGATTGCCGATGGTGCATAATCAGCAAAGGCATCAAGACATCGTTGGAGCTTGTTTGTTATTTCGCGAGGCATCCTACCCTTGACGGTTATTGCGGTATCATCCGCGAACAGGAAGAACACGCAGCCGCCTCCGAGGGGCGGAGTGTCAGAAGTGTAGATGCTGTAAAACAAAGGCCCCAACAGACTTCCTTGCGGAACACCTGCTGGGATGGAGAACGTGTTTGAAAGGCAGCCATTCAACGATACCCTGAACGACCTTTTCTGAAGGTAGTTACGGGTGATTTTAACAAGGAAAGTTGAAGTTACAAAGCTTGTGCCAGACATTGTCAAACGCTTTCTCAACGTCTAACAATGCCATGGCTGTGAACTTGGATACAGTCTTGTTACTAGGGATGTTATTCATCACTCGTACTAGCTGATGATTTGTGGAGTGCCCTTCCTGAAATCAAACTGTTCCGGTAGGAGAATGTTGTGTTCTTCGACAAACTTGAGCAAACGATTGAGAATAAGTTTCTCGAACAATTTGCTCAGCGCTGGAAGGAGGCTGATCGTTCTGTAGCTTGAAGCTAGCGTTAGATCCTTCCCGGGTTTGCGGATTGGTATAATTTTTGCTGTCTTCCAGATACCTGGAATGTAGTGCAGTTGCAAGCATCTGTTGAAGACAGCTGCCAGCAGAGAGTGAACCTTCATGCTGAGATTTTTCAACACTAGGTTGAATATTTTGTCGAACCCGGGGGCCTTCATGTTTTTGGTGCATTTCAGCGCTGAGCACAAGGGGAGGTATCAAGGTTGAGTACGCATTGCTCAACCTGAACTTCGAGTGGACTCTGGATGTGGAAGCCAAGCAAGTGCGATTTGGCAATATGCTCACCAATCGCATTTGCTTTCTCCTGAGGGGTGATTATGAGCCGATCGTCATCATATTCATCTTTGAGTGGTGGAATGGGTTTGGGGTGCGTCTTGGTCTGGAGCGGTCGTCCTGATTCTGAACGAGCTGCCTGAATCTTTCGTTCCGGAGCAAGACCATTCTGGAAGCAATCTCCCTGTTCAGATCGGGGCCATTTCACGTTTCCTCGCTAGATCTCCGATTCTTTGGAACTGGCGTCTACGAACATTTCTCAGGCGAATCAAGAGTATGGGAATCAATGGCAATAAACTTAACCCTCACATGAACTCGTCGGACGCACGTCTCGTCAGCCACGGTTATGGCTTGGTGGAGTCCCTCGAACGCTCGGTAGATGTCCTCCACGGAGTCAAACGGCGGGTTGTCGATGATGTGCCTGTCTACCACGCGTCCAAACTGGGCCCAGTTCACCCACCACCGGTTGGTGGCAGAAGCTGAGTTCGTTCAAGGCTACCGGCTTGGACAAGCCGGTATTTGTCAGGAACAGGTCAAGCGTCGATGGGTTACCTGCCGGTGAGATAAATGTTGGCTCATCCGAAAACCGAACAGCAGACGACCGTTCTGGTTCTGCTGGTTGTTCCACCAGGCCTCATGGCGAGCGTTTAGAACTCCTCCAACTACGAAGCGCGAACCGGTACGGGGTATAGTGATCAGTGAATTTAGCCACTAGTCTACTGCTGGCGGTACACTGTCGATATGGGACAGACTGAGGTATTTTATCCCTTTCTTGACGACGACCGCAGCACCACCCCCCTGGAGCTGGTGCGTTCAAGACGAATAATGTCGCCGGACTTTAGATGGGTATCGGTTAGAAGGCCCACGTCGATGCTGTGCTTGCGGAGGAAGTCGACAAGCTCAATCTATTTAGCTCTTACAGAGCAAGCATTCCAGGTGATGATAGTTAGCGGTTTAGACGCCATACTGGATGATGAACTTACCGAGGACTTGGATCTGCTCGGGCTTATTGCGGCACTTACGAAGAGCACCGGGCTTGTTGACGATGATTTTCATCAGTTCATCTGCTGGGAACAGATCGCGGTTGTTGTTTGGCGAATTTGCTTGCCTTTGCTGGGGAGCACGAAGAGGCGGGAGATTCCCCATCCTGAATGCTGGTCCTGGTTGATTGTTGCTTGACGTCTGCTTTCGGATGCGTTTGAAGTCCTCGCGTTTGGAGCACTGTCTGTCGGAACCTTGATGTGCACCACCACAGTTACCGCATTTTATCGCCACGGCTCCATCCGCAGGGCAGTTGGAAGTGGCGTGTTCTTGAGCGCAGTTGCTGCAGCGTGGCTTGATGTTACAGTTGCGGGTACCGTGTCCGAAATTGAGGCACCGCTGGCACTGCGTTACGTCACGATGGCCGCCACTGTATGGCTCCCACCGTACGATGATGGAGTAAATCGATCGGATGGCTTGCAGCGCATTGAGAGTCACCGTCCCTTTCTGGAAGTGCACCAGGAAGAGACAATCCGGGTACGTCTTCACGTTTTCGTCTCTCCTTGTCATTCGGAAGACAGTCATTAGGGCTAGCTTGTACCGGTTGATTTCAGCTACGACCATCTTGGGGTCGAAGTTTGGTAGACCCCTGATTACTACCTTGAAAGGCTTCTCACCGGGGATGTCGTGCGTGAAGAATTCCGCCTTGGTATCCTTCAGATATTTCACGGCCACTTCGTACTCCGCTTTCGTTCGGAGCATCGACTTGGTGCCGATCCTGCCGAGCTTAAACTGATGAGAGATCGCCAATCAGCGTGTTGAGTGGGACTTGCTTCACCACCAGTGGAGGAAGCTTCATTTTTGCTACACTTGGGCTGGCAGCAATTTCGTTGTCGACGGTGTCACCGAAATCACCAATGACGCTGACGTTCGTCGCGGTGGCATCGTCCCGTCCACTCGCACCATCGGACTGGCCTTGATTTTTCTTCCTCTTCTTTGACCGCTTCACCGTGGCTGAGGTGGTATTCCCAACATCGGTGGGAAGAGTAGCGTACCTATTCGAAATAGGTACACTCAAACCCTCACCGCTGTTCTTCTTCTCCGTTTTCTCTCGGAGCCTACTCCAGGAGCGCTGTCTTCCCATCACACGAAGTGACCGACACTACTGACGACGCGATTAAACTGCGAATGTTTGGAACAAATTAGAAACTTTAGAACAACTAGAAAAAGCGAGCAAAGACCGAACTGGACTGCTTGACGTTCAAGGTTGAGCTGATACCAGACAGCAGCGCTCTTTTATATCTTTTCAGGTTAAAGCAGAATGACGTGCAACCAAGTGGTATAAAAGCTACAAAGACTCCTCCCATTATGAGAAGTTTGCTATCAAGTAGCGACACTGGCTCTTTTCCTTTTGCTTACACGGCGAATGAGAACGACCCAAATTTGAGTTTAGTTCACTCATAATCGCCAAAAGTGCAGGAACTCAGCTATGAGTAAATTTGTCTCATGATTTCCTGTGGAAAACCTAAAAAATCTGCCAGAAAATGAGGAAATTGACGTAATTTTATTCAGTCTCGAAGTATTTAGTACCAATAGAATGAGTGAATCCAATCTTTACTTTTCTCAAATTCAGGATTTTTCCCTGGAAAATACTGGTAAAACCTGGGAAAACATGAGGCAAATTTACTCATCGCTGAGTTCCTGCACTTTATTTCTTTAGTTGAAGATGCTAATTTCAAATAACAGACTGTAGTGGTAATTTTTATACGATAGATGGAGTAGATGAAAGCATAGAGTTGATAGTTCCGTTAGAGTACGGCAGTGTGAAGATTGTATATAGATATTAGAATAGCGAACTAGGACAACTTTTTTAGGAAGGTACAAATCGGTTTTTTCATCTCTCTTTAGTGGTGGCGGGGGGGGGACACCCCTCA